AAGAAAATTCATCCTTGAATATTTAACACGTACCTGATTCAAAAGATGAGGATATTGCTTTTTCATGTCGTATTCTCTTTCCCAAGTAGCTTTATCAACTTTATGACTTCGTAAAGAATTTTTAACAAGTGGAATTGTCTTATAATTCCTTATTTCTTTGACTTCGTGTGCTAAAATCTTTACCGATTCTTCCTTTTATGTCAAATCCGATTAAATATCAATCTCCTCCGGTGTAATAACATGTGAAGGATTTGATTGATACCTTCGAAGCATTAACACATAAAATGCATTATGAATCTTATCCATTTCTAGAGGTAGCGCTAACTGATAAGCTACTAGACTAACTCTTATCACGATCTCATATGGTCCAATAAATCTAGGACTTAGTTTCCCTTTTCATCCAAATCGCAAGACCTTTTTCCAAGGTGATACTTTAACAAATGTTTTTATCATCGACCTGATATTCAAGCTCTTTTCTTTTTAAGTATGAATAAGATTTATGATCGACTGCAATCTTAATATTATCTTGTATAATCTTCACTTTGTCTTCAACTTCCTTGATTAGATCAGGAATTACGCTATCCTGATCTTTAAGCTCGTACCAATTCAGAGAAGTACGACATTTTCTTCCATATAAGGCTTCATAAAGAGCCATCTTGATACTCGCTTGATAACTATTGTTATAAGCAAACTCTGCTAAAGACAAATATTTTCCCATGATCCTTTGAATTCAATTACACATGCCTTAGCATATCTTCCAGAATCTGAATAGTTCACTCTGATTGCCCATCGTCTGAGGATGAAAGTAGTGTTGAAATTAAGTTGAATACCTAAGGCCTTATGCAAAGATTTTCAAAATCTCGAAGTGAACCTTGGATCTCTATCTAACACTATCAAGACAGGCACTCCATATAGTCAAACAATCTTTTTAATGTAAAACTAAGCATACTTATTCATAAAAATAATTAGTTTAAATGAATGGTACATTCTTTAGAGTTTCCATTCAACAATAGCTTGTACTTCCTTAAGATCCACTTTAATCCTTTCAACTACAACTACATGGTCAATAAAAGTAACTTCAAACAACCATAATTCACACTTTGACAGTTTAGCACATAACTTTTTTTCGAAGAGTTTGAAGAGCAATGTAAAGATGTGCATCATGTTCTTCCTTTTTCACTTAGTTTGTCAATACCCTTTCTTTCGACCAAAATAGCTATCGTATCCCTCATCTTGTACATTTGTTTCTTCAATTCTTCAATTTTATTCTGCTTAATATTGATGCTAGCTCTTTCTGGTGTGTTTGGCACTTGACCTTTAAATAAATTACTTTTCATCTTTCTTGGAACTTCTCTGGAATACCGCCTCATAATTGTGTCTTGGTCTATTTGATAGCGAAACTCCTTTCAATTTATGGAAAATTTTCAATTAGATAGCCAACTGTGGATCGATACCTTCATCCCACGAAGATGTAAATGTAAATGCAAATACAAAAGAAAAAGGTATTAATTCCAAAAGTGGTCACTATAGAAAAACTTTCATTAGAACACAAGATTTCAATATACCAAATAGTCAGTTTTAACAAATAAGAATAAATTTGACTACCCGGTTGAGAAACCTTTGTATTTTATGAAAACCTTCTAATTTGGTCAAACACTCATGAATTAACGATTTTTATGTTGCGGTGACGTGATATAAGGAAAAGCAAAAATAAAGCAAAAATAAACAAGTTAGTATAAGTAAAAAAACTCATAAAATAAAAATAGGTAAAATCTACCCCATATACTATCTACCTAAACATGTTTTAAATAGATCATACCCTTGAATTCTATTCGAGTAAGTATGAGAGTTAATAAAGTATTTGATATGAAGATTTTCGGCAATAAATGCAATCTAAATGCCTATAATACCGATACTATAACCTAAGTGTCGGTACAACCTGCATTAAATACAAAAATATAGTCGTTGGGGAATGGTAATATCGATATCCCATCAGGTGATATCGATACTACAGGCATAAGTAGTTTATGTACTCCAAGGAGTATCAATACCATTTTTGTTTATTGGAGAGTTTTCAAAAACATAAGAAAAATACTGACTCTCTAGTGGGAAGTAGTAGTACTATTATTATAAGTAGTATCAATATTACTTGATAATTTTAAGCACTTAGCATAGATACTGATCGATACTATATGAACAATATCGATGTTGTTCTTATATTATCGATACTACCATGTTTAAAAATCATTTTTGACTCGATTCAAGTTCAAAATCTTTAGAAAAATTTGTTCTAAAAATATTTCCAGTATATGACAATTCTCTCAAGTATATAAAGAGAGACAAAGTTTTCGAGTTTATAAAAAGTTAATATATTTGAAAATTATTGCATATAATCTTAAAAATTATTAAATTTATTAAACACTTTTGGTAGTTCAAACTATCAAAGCACGTTAAACAAGATACATGAAGAATTCATGGAATATAATCTAAGAAAATCTATTGCACAAATTTGATTTCAAGATTTCAAACTATCACAATCTCAAACGGGATGATTTTTCCTTCGACATATACATGAATTATTACGATACTAGCTCTTGTGAGAATTTGGTACAACTTTTTTTAGATTTAATTCAGTCACTTACCTCTATGAAAAATCAATTGAAGATTATCGTATTAAAATTCATGGGTAGTCATTTGTCAGGGCTGAGAAGATATCACTTATTAAAATAATAAAAACGATATATCTGATCGTTCCAGATTTAAAACATATATAAATATATTTGATGGAATTAACGGTCGAAATGATAAGATCGCATTAGAATGTCATATTCAAAAAATCTACAAAAGCATCTATCATAACGATCAAGCTCAAAGATACGGTCGAAAATTTTCAAATAATAAAAATCATGTGAAGGATCAACTCTTAATCACATAATGTCTAATTAAACATACTATTGATTTAGGAAATAAGTGTTGTTTTTTTCCTTTACAATGGCTTGATCAACTAATTGTGGTTGACATGAAGTTTTAAAAATCAAATTTTCATTTATGAATTGATAAGAACATTTCATTGTCGTTGTGCAATATTAAATCTTACACATATTTTATCACTTAGTAACTCTATCCTAATCTCATACTATCACTTTACCTTGACCCTTTTATTTCATTGACTCGTGAATACTTTCTTAAAATAATACGATAATAAAATATTGTATTAATATTAATTAAACGAAATAATATTATTTTGATTATTTATATTTTGAAATAAAAAGTTGAGAAAATACTCTAACTTATATTTTTGTTGTTAAATGCTTTACATAAAATGAAAATTAAATTTTGATGATCAGAAAAATAAATCATATTAACTAGTTTATTTTTCTTTAATTAAACACTATAAAATAAAGGATTTTTTCATTAAATGTTTTATGATAAACAAACATACGCTAATATTTATAATAAAATGATGAGATTGCGGCCAAATCCATTGCTTAACATTGTGGGGGATAACTTTTGATTTTGGGTAAATTATACCTTTAGTATTTAAACTATTAATTTTAATTTATGTTAGTTTTTAAATTTTTAATTTTTTTAAAATTATATCTAAAATTTAGTTTTTATTTTATTTTATTTTAATACCTTTTAAAAATTTAAAGTTAATTTTTAAAATAATTAAAAGTTTAGATATTAAAAAATAAAAACCGATAATTTATGTATCGTGTTAAATTTTAAACCATTGATTTTTTTTGTTGTGTTTGGGCCAAACACCACACATTTAAAACCTATTAATGTCTCTCTTATCCTCAATCTTGAAACTCTAAAAAGAACCCACAGCGACAAATTCTATTACGTAAACCAATAAGAAAATTACACGTAAATTTTAATTAGTTATTTGAGTGACCAAAACAAATTAAATAAATACTACAATCTTGTTTGATTGTAAACCAATCAATCCTTGGTTCTGTTATATATTCTCCTTTTCCACTCCCAGAAATCCTGTGTTCTTTTTCATCCGATCTATCTTGGTAAATTCACTTCAATCTATCTCTCCAAAATTTTAATCTATTTTGAAGCACGTATTTGCCAATACATGTTTATTTTATTTTTATTTACCATTTCCATGAATTTTCAGGTCCATATTTTTGTTTTATCCATATATGAATATTTATCCTGATGTACTTTCTTTTCTATAAGAACCTGCTGTGTGACTATGTTAAAAGTTCTCTGTTTTTGTTTTGCGTGTTATTTCTTTAAAATTATATCTAAAATTTAATTTTTATTTTATTTTATTTTAATACCTTTTAAAAATTTAAAGTTAATTTTTAAAATAATTAAAAGTTTAGATATTAAAAAAATAAAAACCGATAATTTATGTATCGTGTTAAATTTTTAAACCATTGATTTTTTTTGTTGTGTTTGGGCCAAACACCAACACATTTAAAACCCTATTAATGTCTCTCTTATCCTCAAATCTTGAAACTCTAAAAAAGAACCCCACAGCGACAAATTCTATTACGTAAACCAATAAGAAAATTACACGTAAATTTTAATTTAGTTATTTGAGTGACCAAAACAAATTAAATAAATACTACAATCTTGTTTGATTGTAAACCAATCAATCCTTGGTTCTGTTATATATTCTCCTTTTCCACTCCCAGAAATCCTGTGTTCTTTTTCATCCGATCTATCTTGGTAAATTCACTTCAATCTATCTCTCCAAAATTTTAATCTATTTTGAAGCACGTATTTGCCAATAACATGTTTTATTTTATTTTTTATTTACCATTTCCATGAATTTTCAGGTCCATATTTTTTGTTTTATCCATATATGATATATTTATCCTGATGTACTTTCTTTTCTATAAGAACCCTGCTGTGTGTGACTATGTTAAAAGTTCTCTGTTTTTGTTTTGCGTGTTATTTCTGATTTAGGGTTTTAGCGCCACTCTTTTGAGGTTGGATTTGTAGTTTTGTTTGGCTATTTTATCTCAGTGAATTGGTTTGTTTTATAAAATATAGGAGGGGTTGTTGATTTTTTTTAATGGCTCGATTGATTCTTCCGTGCAAAAGTTCGTGTTTGGCAAGAACCAGCCTTTTGGGTTTGATCTCTTCTGCTCCTGTGATTATCCACTACTCATTTATCTTTTATGAATCTCTCTTTTTTTTTTTTGGCTTTTATCGGTTTTGAGTTGTTTGTCATTGGAAGTCCGGTTTTGAATTCACTGAAAAGATTACATTGTATGATTCTGAAATGACACTGGATTGTTAGGAAAGACTTTTTTATTTTATGTTGTGGGATTCATTGACATATCAATTATAATTCACCCATATAAATTGTACGTTTTTGTTCTCTTTTCGCTTACCAGAATTCAGTTTATTTTCTTGAATACGTATAAATGAATATCACTTGTACACATAGTTTGAGTTTTGAAGGGTGATTAAGAAATGCCAAGTTTAGTAGGATGGAGTGTTTTGAGTGTTCATCTGTTGTTTGCTTTACTGCTTCAGGTTAAAAGGAGTGTTTGTTCGGTGAAGAATATCTCTTGGTATAGGCATTTCTCTGCTCTAGAGGTTAGTGCATTTTGTTAGTTCTAATATAATGTTCTGGGTCCTTTTTTTTGGAATAATGACTTTGTTTTAATCTTGCTATTACTCATTTATGGATTAATTTTTGTTGTTGTATCTTGTATGCATTTTTTAGGCGACCCCTAGAAGGAAGTACTTGTTTCCACATTCTTTACCTTATGTAAGTTGCCATGCTTTGCACCTAACTATTTTTTCTCTATTCCATCGACACATTCGTACACGTAGGGCTGTAAACTAACTGAGTTGAGCTCGAGTAATGCTGAGCTTGACTTGACTCGAAAAGTTTAAAACTGAGCTTGATTTGAACTTGAAATAAACAAATTGAAGTTCAGCTCAACTTAAATGCTTGCGAGCTTAAAATTTTCAAGCTTCGACTCAAATCGAAAAATGAAGCTCAACTCGAGTTCGAAAAAACTTGAAAACATTCTTAGGCTTAGCTAGATTGAAGATCAAGCATGAACTTGAACCTTAAATCAGTGAAAGTTTTATACTGTATCTTCTAAAACCATCAACATATAAATGTTAATATTATTAATAATTTAATTTAAAAATTAAAAGTTCAATATATTATTTTTTCGAGTCGAGTATCAAGTAGCTCGCTTTGGCTTGTTAAGAACTCGAATTGAGCTCTAGTCAAGTCCATTCTGTTTGATGGGGATATGCGAAAAAAGCATGTTTGATAGTATTCCAGTCGGTGGAGGAGAAGGATGCAGCGGTGGAAGTTAAGTGGGAGGCCCTATCCTTTTGGTTTGAATGGTTGGAGCCTGTGATGGAGGAGAAGTGTGTTCCATTACCTTATTGTGCAGTATCCATGATCGGTGTTCCATTAAATTGTTGGTCAGTTTCATTCTTTACCAGTTTGGCGTCGAGATGGGGCAAAAGTGAAGATTCAGGAGCAAACGGCACAAAGAGTAGATTGCAGGGTGGCTAAGATGTTGTTAAGGGTTGAGAGTCCTGTTTGACATTCCTCCCCAAGTAACCATTAATACTTATGGAAGGTCTTTTATTATTAAGATTAAGGTGGAAAGTAGCGATGACTTCTTTCCTCAGCTTGATGATGGGGATGAGGAAGACGGTTCTGGAGGAGGAACAGTGGATCCTTGGGAGGAGTCCTCGTCGGAAGGAAGCAAAGGGGATGATCGAGGAGGTCTGCAAGGGCAGTTGAATATCCAGCCGATGTCAGAATCTCTGAATAGGGCTGTGGAGTGGGTTCGAGGTACTTCACAGGGGAGTGGTTCACTTAACAATGGAAATTTGAAAAATAAGGTTGAAGGCAATGAGAGTTTTAATGTTGACATTGGGAGTGAGGGGACAGAACTAGGGGAAGGTTACAGTAATCAGAAAATGTCAGGGGTTTTTTCTAAAGGGAGAAAAAGAGTGTCTAGCTTAGCAGAAGACACCTCGGGGCAAGATAAAGTTGTCCAAGATGATGGGCTGATTTCCATCAAGGGTGGGTTACAGGTGTTTGGGCCTGAGCAGGAAAGTCCAATATCAAATACAAATGGGACTAAGACTGCAGTTTCTAAAAAGGACACACAGGAAGAATTTGGTATACAGATTGGGTATGTTTCTTTGACTCAACGACGTCCTTCTGGGAGAAGTGCGTCGGTTAGTAAAGCAGATAGAGGTTTTTATAACAAGGTTTATGCTAGGAGGTGGGATGTTAAAAGTTGTGGTGGTAAGGATGCTGATTATGATTCTGAAAATGAGAAACAGGGGGTGGCAGAAGCATTGGAATGTTGGAATGTCTCGAAATTGTTGGGGGTCAAATTTAAAGGAGAAAAAGATTTTGTGTCCAAAGTTGCTTCTATGGTGAAAGATAGAGATGATTAAGAGGAGGTGGTAGGATTATGGGATTATGGTAATAAGTGAAGTAAGATGGTAGAGTGGTCTATTATGTGTTGGAATGTTGGGGGTTTGGGTAGGAAGGTCAAAGCCCGAGCTATTAGGAGATTTGTGGAGGAGAAAATACCTATATTTTTATTTCTTCAAGAATCAAAACTGGAAAAGGTCAGTTCTTTGTTAGTAAGGAAAATAGGAGGCAAAATTCTTACTGGTTCGGTGGTTGTGCCTACTGTAGGTTCTGCTGGTGGTGGCTTAATAACTCTGTGGAATCAGAAGGTTTTTGTGGTTAAGGAAGAGATTATCCATAGTAGATTTGTGGCAATAAAGGGATGGATGGATGGTGGACCAGATATTTGCTGTTTTATAAATGTTTATGGTCCAAGTGTGGAGGCTGATAAGGAGATGTTTTTTAGGGAACTAACTTCCTTTCTGGATTAGGTGGAATGTCCAGTTTGCTTAGGTGGAGACTTTAATGCCATTTTGACTCAGGAAGAGAAACGGGGAGGTGTTGTGAATTCTGTATCAATGAGTCTTTTTCGAGATTTTGTTTCTAGAGCAAATTTGATTGATTTGCCTTTAGTCGAAGGACAGTTTACGTGGTGTAATAATAGGGAAACGACCACTTTTGAGAGGTTGGATCAGTTTTTGGTTGATCAGAAATATTTTTCTTATTTTCCGAAGATGAGTCAAATTTTGCAACCAAGGTCCGTTTCTGATAATAATATTATTGTGTTGGAGAATAAGGAATGTAATTGGGGTCCAAAGCCGTTTCGTTTGTTTAATTATATGTTGGAGGAGGAAGGTTTTAGTGAGATGGTGAAGAAGGAGCTGCTCAAATTCGGTACAAAGGAGGAGGCATTGTCCATTTCCAAAATTCTTAACCGGGTGAAGGACGAGGCAAAGAAATGGTCTAATAAGGGTTATCTTCAGCTACCAGGACAAATCAGATTGCTGGAGAGAAAGCTATTCAGGAAATGGAAATGGATTTGCAACAAGGGATTTCCAGGGGGTCAATGAAAGCTATTGTGGAAGCAAAGAGAGAATTATGGGAGCTACAAAAGAAGGAAGAATCGATTTGGCTGCAAAAGTCTAGGTTGAAATGGAGTTTGGAGGGTGATAAGAATACTAGGTATTTTCATCACAGTGCAGCAATTAGAGGGAGGATAAATTGCATTAAATTCCTCAAAGTTGATAATGAAGTCATAGAAGATCCAAGATTAATTAAAGTCGAAGTGGTGAAGTTCTTCAAGGGGCTGTTTAGTTAAAAAAATACACTGGGGGTAGAGGAATTAAATCTGGAATTTCTTAAACTTTCAGAAGGTCAGTGTTCATCATTGGAGAAGCCATTTACTGAAGAGGAAGTTTGGGAAGTGATTGTTCATGCGGATAGTAATAAAGCTCCGGGTTCGGATGGATTGAATTTAGGGTTTTTTAAGAAGTTCTGGAATTTCTTGAAGGAAGATGTGATGCTGTTTTGTAAGGACTTTTTTGAGGGAAAGGAGTGGGAGTCGAAGGTGAATTATTCCTTCATTTCCCTTATTCCTAAGAGAGCAAATCCGGAGGGGTTGGAAGATTTTAGGCCAATTAGCCTAGTGGGGGGATTATATAAAGTTCTTTCTAAGGTTTTAGCGAGAAGATTGAGTTTGTGTATTAATGATATTATTAGTCCGTCTCAATTCGTTTTCATTCCGGGGTAGAAACATATTGGACTGTTCGTTTATTGCAAATGAAAGTATCGACTATTGGAGAAAGAAAGGGTTGAAGGGAGTTGTCTTCAAGGTGGATTTTAAGAGAGCATACGATTCGGTTGATTGGTCAATTTTGTTGCAAGTAATGAGCAAAATGGGGTTTGGTGACAAGTGGAGGTCTTGAATGTTTCAATGTATGTCAACAACCACGATTTCGATTTTGGTTAATGGGTCACCTACGGAGAAATTTAAAATAGCTAGGGGACTAAGACATGGATGTTCGCTTTCGCCTTTGCTGTTCAATTTGGCTGCGGAGTTGTTGCATTTGTTGTTGACTAAAGCAGTAGAAATGGGACTGTTTTCGGGTTTTGATTTAGGAGTTCAAGACAGGGCATTCAAGTTATCACATCTACAATTCACGGATGATCTTATAATCTTCAGTAAGGATTCCACCCGTGATTTAAGGAATGTTAGGAGAGTGCTACTAATTTATGAGCTTTTGGTGGGGTTGAAGTTAAATTTAGTTAAAAGTATGATTTATGGTATTAATGTTGAGGATGGAGAGTTGGCTACTTGGGCAAATGATATTGGCTGCTCGGTGGGTTATCTTCCATCAGATTATTTAGGCTTACCTTTGGGGCACAGGAGGAACTCGGCTTCTATGTGGGAGCCAATAGTGGCGAGATTTAATGCGAAATTGAGTGGGTGGATGGCTAATTCCTTGTCGTTAGCAGGAAGGGTGGTGTTGGTTAAATCGGTACTCTGCTCTCTCCCCGTCTATTTTCTGTCCATTTTCAGAATTCTAGCTTCTGTGTTACTAAAACTTAATTCTATCATGGCTGCATTTCTGTGGGGGGGTTCGGCAGATAAGAAAAAAATCCATTGGGTTAACTGGAAGTTGGTTACTAAATCAAAAAAATTGGGGGGTTTAGGGATCCCAAACTTATCACTGTTGAACAGAGCTTTGCTAGGGAAATGGGTATGGAAGTTTGCATCAGAAAAGAGGTCTTGGCGGAAGAGAGTGGTGTGTGGTTTTTATAATCTGGACTCAAATTCCATTATGATGGGGAATTCCTGGACAGGTCGTGCATCGTGGATTTGGAAAGGTGTGGTTAAAAACTTCTTCAACAATGATGGTTTTGGGGATTGTGTTAGACGAAATATGCGTTTGAAGACAGGGAATGGGGTTGTTGTGGAGTTTTGGAATGACGTTTGGTTGGGGGAAGTTCTTTTGAAAGTTCTGTTCCCTAGACTTTTTGTTCTTTCTAACAACAAAGAGGGCAAAGCGATGGAGTTTGGGGAGAATAATGACTCGGGGTGGGTGTGGGACATCCAATTGAGAAGAAATTTGGCTGAATGGGAATTTGAGCAATGGTTACAGTTGATTGCTGAATAATATCTCCTATTTACTGATGTAGATGATTGTTGGATTTGGTTAGGGAATGGAGAGGGCTGCTATACAGCGAAATCTTATATCAATACCTTCATTGATCAAGACGAATCTGGGCAGAATCAGCAAAATTGGGATAAGCATATTTGGGTAGGGATTGCACCTCCAAGGGTGGAAACTTTTGTTTGGCAAGTAGCACATCAGAGATTACCGGTTAAAGAGGAATTAGTGAAGAGAGGAGTGACAGAGATTATTAATCATCTATGTGTATTGTGTGGTAGTGAAGTGGAATCAGTTTCACATTTATTTCTTCATTGTAAGATAGTGTGGGGCATGTGGTCAACATTTTTGAACATGTGGAATGTGTCTTTGGTAATTCCAAAGCATATCACTGATTTTTTTCATTTTGTGGGATGATTTAATGCCTAATTCTTCGATCTGGAAGTTCATTCCAAGGGCAGTGATGTGGTCAGTGTGGAAATGTAGAAATGAAATTATCTTTCAGAATGGAAAGCTGGATTGGTCAGACTGTCTTTCATCATTCGATTTAGAGTAGCTTCCTGGTTTGTTGCAAGGTTCGAAGATGTGGTTATTCCTTTAGATTCACTAGTAGGTGATCTAAAACTTGCCGATTCGAGGGAAAAGAAACGACAGGACTGCTCTCAATCTTCTTGCTGGGTTCCTCCCCCGGATGGGTTCTTAAAGCTAAATGTTGATGGAGCGATGGTTTCGGGTTGGGATAAAGGTGGTATTGGAGGTTTGGTTCGGGATACTAAAGGTGTGTTACTTCAGTGGTTCTCTGAACCAGTAGGGGGAGGTCCTCCTATCATGGCAGAGTTGTTGGTGGATCAAGAATCCGGGCTTATGCCCCCCTTTGTTTTTATCCTTGGTGAACGATATAGTTGAGCTGTTGGCAAGAAAGGATATTATTATAAAGCATATTTTGAGAGCGGCAAACTGGGAAGCTGATAAACTAGCTAAAGAGGATAGGGTGATTCTTGGTTTATATTGGTTATGTTGTTTTGAAGGAAATGTTATATTCTGTGTTGTAAGGTTTTGGAGTTAAGTCTTATGTTCTTCATTTGGAGGTTTTGGAGTCTGTTAGGCTCTACCTATGTATTATTGTTTTTATGAATAAAATTTTCTAGGCACTCTTTTCCTTCTTCCTTAATCCTTCATGTTACTCACATAACATGGAGGATTAGAAGGGGTTTTTTAATGAGGCCACTATTCTATAAAAAAAAAGTCCATTCTGTTTGAGTATTGATCGAGCTTTGATCGAATTAATCTCGAGTAGCTCACGATCTGTCTTGTCTCATTTACAATCCTAAATACAATAATACATGCATTCAGTTATCTTTTGCTTTCATGGATGTTGCTGTCATCAAATATGACATTGTCTTATATGGTTACTTTTTGTTTTCTTGGCTAAATAGTTTCAGAGGGAAAGGGAATCCAGCAGGAGGCTGCTTTGTTCAGTTGCAACAGAATCTTCACCCAAGCAAGTTAAAGAATCTGAAATGGATGCTCCTAAAGAAATCTTTCTGAAGGACTACAAGTCTCCTGCCTACTACTTTGATACGGTATATATTACAACTAATTATATTAAACTATGCTTTAGCTTGGATTTTGAACTTTTTTATATGGATTTATGAAAAATTGCTTTCAGGTGGATTTGAAATTTTCATTGGGTGAAGAGAAAACAATTGTCGCTTCCAAAATAACTGTTTTCCCCAGTGTTGAAGGTATTTGAACTGTTATTCTTTTTTTAATACTTGAAAATTGTCATTATTAGACCATATCTTTGTTTTTTGGCACTATTGAGAAGAAATATTGTTCTCCTTGAGAATGCAGTGCTCTACTAAGTTTTATGTTGAAAAATACTTTTTGTGATTATTCTCTATATTATACTAATCTATTTTGAAGATCAGGTTCTTCTTCTCCATTGGTTCTGGATGGGGAAGATCTAAAACTAATTTCAATCAAGGTTGATGGAAAGGAACTGAAGGTATATTGTTTATTGTACATTTCTCAAAGTAGGCTTGGTACCGTACTTCCTGAAGTGAGATTGAAGATATGATGTTTTAATTTACTTTCTTTTAACCATTGAAAGGAGGGGGATTATCATTTAGACTCACGACATTTGACACTTCCATCACCACCACAAGGCAAATTTACTTTGCAAATTGATACTGAGATACAACCTCAGAAGAACACATCATTGGAGGTGAGGCATTATTATTATTTTGGTTGATATGTACGGTAATTTTACCCTAATAACCATGCTATACAATTTTCTCACTCAAGGGGCTTTACAAATCATCTGGAAATTTCTGTACACAATGTGAAGCAGAGGGTTTCAGAAAAATTACATTTTATCAGGTGAGATGTTGAAACATGTTTTGAATTTTATTATTTTCATTTTGTTGCATGAATCCATTTCACTCCCGATTGGCATGTTTACTTTGTGAACAGGACCGTCCTGATATAATGGCAAAATACACATGCCGTATTGAAGCTGATAAGTCATTGTATCCAGTATTATTATCCAATGGAAATCTCATAGAGCAAGGAGACCTTGAGGCAAGCTTCACGTCTTATGGTAGTCTCCTTTGTTTAATGGGACTGTTGTTCATTGTTATTTTTCTGGATACATTGCAGGGTGGCAAGCATTATGCTGTATGGGAGGATCCCTTTAAGAAGCCATGTTATTTGTTTGCCTTGGTAGCTGGCCAATTAGAGAGCAGAGATGACATATTTGTTACTCGCTCTGGCCGAAAAGTGTCACTAAGGATATGGACCCCAGCACAAGATGTACCCAAGACTGCACATGCCATGCATTCTTTGAAAGCAGCTATGAAATGGGATGAAGATGTCAGTCATTATGTCCTTATGTTGCTTTTACGGTATCAAGATTAATTTATCTCTTTATTTAAAATCTTATTCTCTTATAGGTTTTTGGTCTTGAGTATGACCTCGATCTCTTCAATATTGTTGCTGTTCCTGATTTCAACATGTAAGATTCATTCTTGTTCTTTGCTTCTTTTGTAGCTATATGCTCATATCTATCAATACCGATATGCTTTGTTCTTTTTTTATGTAGGGGAGCCATGGAAAACAAGAGTCTGAATGTATGTCTTCTAGTTTATCTGGTCAAAATTTGCAAAATATTTCTGTTATTTTTATCCAAATATGTTTCTATTGCACGTTGTAGATTTTCAATTCAAAGCTTGTTTTGGCTTCTCCGGAAACTGCTTCAGATGCTGATTATGCTGCAATTTTGGGTGTTATTGGTCATGAGGTTCGTTGTGGATATAAAGTTTGAAAATGCCTTTTTACACATTTTATATATGGATCTGATTGTGACATGTCATAACGATATTATTCCTTGCTTTCATGCAGTATTTTCACAATTGGACTGGCAACAGGTTGGTTAGTTTCCCATTTTGGCTCATTCTTTGTTATAGCATTGCATCCTTTGATATTTTTGCTCCTGTTTTATGATTGACTTGTGGAGTTTTGATTTGTCATATACGTGCTATTGGTCATAAGAATGATGTGTAGATCTGTATATATCAATGATGTTTAAGCAGACTAGTCCGCCAGTTGAACTGGGAACGGGTAGGTCAAGTGGTTCAATATCTTATATAAAACCACAAAAATATAAAGAACCAGTTAGAAACAGATAAAAACTGGAAATTGGTTAAACTTCAAAAAAAAAAAAAAATCAAGAATGTTTTACAACTTTTCATCATTATTTTCTCTCTTCTAGCAAATCAGAACGAAAAAAAGATTTGAGGAAATAGTAACATCCAAATAGTAGAATAACAATTTGAGGAAATAGTAACAAAACCAAACGGTGACAGAACAAAATTGAGGAAATAATTTGTGAGTGCTCAAAAACAGAAGGAAATGATCCAAGAAAGGGAAAAGGAAAGTGACTCGTGGGTGTATTGTTGGTTTGAATGAACTTACATGTATAGGAAAAGTAGTACTAGTCTTCGAATTTAGAAGTTGGGAAAGAAAATGAAAGAAATCAAAGAACATTGAAAGAGTTATGATGGAAGACTGAAACTTTTCTATGTTTTTGAACTGAAAAGCTTGGTAAAGATGAAAAAATGTAACATAAGTTGAAATGTTGCAGAGTGACTTGCCGAGACTGGTTTCAGCTTAGCTTGAAAGAGGGTCTCACAGTTTTCCGTGATCAGGTACGACTCTTCAGTTGCCGTGGGTGCTAATGTAGGCTCATTGCGACATAATTTGGTTTATGATTGTCAGTAATCATGGGTTGTTGGTAGGAATTTTCATCTGACATGGGAAGCCGTACAGTGAAGAGAATTGCCGACGTTTCAAAACTTCGGAATTATCAATTCCCACAGGTTGTTAATGTTTCTTGCCCGACTAGATTGTGGCCTCACATCCAGTTATATGAGCAATGTGAAAACCTACAAATATGTACTTCAATATGTGACCTACTTGAGTGCTGACTTTCCTTGACTGCCAATTGTTCAGGATGCTGGCCCCATGGCTCATCCAGTTAGGCCGCATTCTTATATTAAGGTATCAAAGTGTCTCCCTTGTTTATTGGCCTTCTCTTTTAAGTTTTCACATTCTTGTTAGCTCATAAGTTTTTGCTTCTAATTTATGTTAACTTTTGTTTCCTTGTTCCCTTTGACAGATGGACAACTTCTACACAGGCAAGTTCTTGTTATATTTATTAGAATGTTTAATGGGTGCATGGATCCGTTTCCTCTTTACATTTAAATTTGATTTACTTTCTTAATGTTAATGTCTGTTTCTGATGCATGATCCCTACTGTGTATGAAAATGTCCTGGGGTATTCAACAACTACAGTGACGGTGAGGCCTAGCAACTTGCATTTGCATCTCTTTTCCTTTTTGTTTTACTGTTTTTATTTGACAAAGCATCTAATTTTTCCTAGTTTTTTTTCTTGGTTCTTTTGTTTTTTTTCCACAGGTTTATGAAAAGGTTTGAATATCTTAACCAGATTCTCTCTTGTTTACAACTGTGTTTGCGGGCATGAGCTATATATTGATGCATCAATGAATTTTCCTTATGATTCAACTTGCTAGGGAGCCGAAGTTGTCAGGATGTACAAAACACTCCTAGGAACTCAAGGGTTCCGAAAGGTAAACTTTTAAGCATGTTTATGAGTCTGAATTTTAAGTGTGTAAACATGTAAAGTTGCTTGTCGTGGACATATTTGTTGATGTGATTTGTTCATGTTCAGGGCATGGATCTTTACTTTAAAAGACATGATGGACAAGCAGTAACGTGTGAAGACTTTTTTGCCGCCATGCGAGATGCAAATGGTGCAAATTTTGCCAACTTTTTGCTCTGGTAAGAATCAGTCATCTCTTTCTCTCTCTCTAAAAGATACTGTGTCTGTTTGGTAGTTTTGATGGTTGTGCTTTTGAAACACTCAGGTATTCACAAGCTGGGACTCCTGTAGTAAAAGTTTCTTCATCCTACAATGCTGAGGCTCGTACTTTTTCTTTGAAGTTTAGGTATACAAACTTGGATTTTGTTGCAACTATGAGTATTGATTTTGGCCCAAAGATTTTGCTACTGACGTTTATGCTTTTTTGTGGCATTTTCACAGTCAGGAGGTTCCCCCAACGCCTGGGCAACCTGTTAAAGAACCCATGTTCATTCCTCTGGATGTCGGTCTATTGGACTCAAGTGGAAAGGACATGCCTTTATCCTCTGTGTATCATGATGGGACATTGCAGTCTGTTGCAGGCGACAATCAGCCGGTCTTTAATACCGTTCTTCGTATAACTAAGGTCATTTGAAATTATCTCCTTCTCTCCATCTGTTGTTATAAATGAGACGAGTCGAGGCTGAGCTAGACTGAACTTGAAAAGTTCAAAGTAGAACCCAAAATTGTCAAGCTCGAATCGAACCCAACATAAAAAATTGAAGCTCGATACGAGCTCGAAAAATCTGGAAACATTCTCAGACTTAGCTCTGTTCAAGCTCAAACCCGAACCTAAGTGCATGAAAACCTTGTTAATATTGTTAATAATTTAATTTAAAAAATTAAAATTTTAACATATTATTTTTTTTCAAGTTGCTCAAGAGCTTTTTAAGTTGGGTATCAAGTAGCTAACTATGGCTTGTAAAGAACTCAAGTCGAGTTCGAGCTGAGTCCATTGAAATCGAATATTTACCGAGCTTTGACCGATTCAAACTCAAATTAGCTTGTGATCTGTCTCGTTTACATCCCTATCCCCACCTTTTATTGCTAAGAACCAGTGATCTTTTGGCTGTCTAAACTTCTTTTGGAAAGCAGAAGAATATGAGACTAGAATCAAACGATTTCTAAGTTGCCATATTGACACATAGGCAGTTACCGATTAGTAACATTGTCTGTTGCATATCTTTATTTATTTATGTTTCTGGTTTTTTGTTCTTTTGCTGTTGCTTAGCAGAAAGAAGAAGAATTTGTGTTTTGTGATATATTTGAACGGCCAATTCCATCACTACTGCGAGGTTATAGTGCACCTGTCCGTCTTGAATCTGATCTCTCTGACAGTGACTTGTTTTTCCTTCTTGCACATGATTCGGACGAGTTCAATCGGTTTGTCTTTCTCGAACCATGTATGCTTTAATCTAACAATGGAGGAACATATTAGATTTGTTCGTTTGATGGTCTTTTTTATTTAGCTGGGAAGCTGGACAGTTGTTGGCAAGGAAGCTCATGCTCAGCTTAGTCTCTGATTTTCAAAAAAACAAGTCGCTGACGCTGAATCCCAAATTTGTGCAAGGTCTCAAAAGCATACTTTGCGACACAGGATTGGATAAGGTATGATGACAGTTCCTTGCAAGAAAATATGAGATCATACTGTTTATATTGGCCTTTCGTGTTTGAATGGAGATTGGATGTCGTGCAGTATGTAGAAACCAATGTACAGCTTATCTTTAACTGCCTTTTGTTATCAGGAATTCATTGCTAAAGCAATAACTCTCCCTGGTGAAGGGGAGATTATGGATATGATGGAAGTTGCTGACCCCGATGCTGTTCATGCCGTTAGAACCTTTATTAGGAAGGAACTTGCCTCACAATTGAAACCAGAGTTTCTAAGCACAGTATGCCATATGCATTCGACTTATACAAACAAATACTTATTACTTTTAGACTAGTGCTTGATTTGCAGTTGCACATGGACTTGATTTTCTTACCCTTTTGACACTTTTAACAGTTTCAGAACAATAGAAGCTCGGAAGAGTATACTTTAACCATCCTAATATGGCTCGACTGCTCTCAAGAATACTGCTATTGGTTTGTATTCGATTTAATGTATATTAGCATAATTTTTGTCGAAATCCTTCAGTTGTTTTACATTTTTGTACTTGCAGCGTATCTTGCATCTCTTGAAGATCCAGAGATAACAGAGCTTGTACTTCGTGAGTATACCGCACAATATGACAGACCAATTTGCAGCTTTGGCAGCCATTGCCCAGAATCCTGGTAAAACTCGAGACGATGTTTTGGCAGACTTCTATAGCAAGTGGCAGCATTACCTCGTAAATTTCCTACTTGACTTCCCTTTGCCTACTGGAATGTAGTTTGAACTTTTCTCACATTGGATAATTTTATTTTTACCCTTTTGTAGGTTGTAAACAATGGTTGCCCTTCAAGCAATGTCTGACATTCCTGGCAATGTAGAGAATGTTCGCAATCTCTTGAATCATCCAGCATTCGACCTGCGTAATCCAAACAAGGTGGTTGATAACATAAACATAGAAGATAACTTTTTCTCTTCAACTTAAATTCAAGCACTTCAATGAATGTGGTTTTTTGTTTTTAATATTAGGTATACTCGCTCATTGGAGGATTTCGTGGATCTCCTGTGAATTTCCATGCCAAGGATGGGTCTGGTTACAAGTTTTTGGGTTGAAATAGTTTTACACACTGACAAAATAAATCCTCAGGTTCGTTAACATTCGACTCTTGCCTCCTTTTGTGCTTACGTTGAAAAAGGAAGTATACATTTAACCATCCTAATATGGCTCGACGTGCTCTCAAGAATACTGCTATTGGTTTGTATTCGATTTAATGTATATTAGCATAATTTTTGTCGAAATCCTTCAGTTGTTTTACATTTTTGTACTTGCAGCGTATCTTGCATCTCTTGAAGATCCAGAGATAACAGAGCTTGTACTTCGTGAGTATAATACCGCAACAAATATGACAGACCAATTTGCAGCTTTGGCAGCCATTGCCCAGAATCCTGGTAAAACTCGAGACGATGTTTTGGCAGACTTCTATAGCAAGTGGCAGCATGATTACCTCGTAAATTTCCTACTTGACTTCCCTTTGCCTACTGGAATGTAGTTTGAACTTTTCTCACATTGGATAATTTTATTTTTACCCTTTTGTAGGTTGTAAACAAATGGTTTGCCCTTCAAGCAATGTCTGACATTCCTGGCAATGTAGAGAATGTTCGCAATCTCTTGAATCATCCAGCATTCGACCTGCGTAATCCAAACAAGGTGGTTGATAACATAAACATAGAAGATAACTTTTTCTCTTCAACTTAAATTCAAGCACTTCAATGAATGTGGTTTTTGTTTTTAATATTAGGTATACTCGCTCATTGGAGGATTTCGTGGATCTCCTGTGAATTTCCATGCCAAGGATGGGTCTGGTTACAAGTTTTTGGGTGAAATAGTTTTACAACTGGACAAAATAAATCCTCAGGTTCGTTAACATTCGACTCTTGCCTCCTTTTGTGCTTTACGTTGAAAAACGAAAGACTCAATTTCGTGGTGGCATACATGGTTTCTTCTGCTGTTTGGTAACACCATTTACCGTCCGTTCTGTTGTAGGTGGCCTCGCGCATGGTGTCAGCCTTTCTCAAGATGGAAGCGTTTCGATGAAAACAGGCAAAAGCTAGCGAAGGTAAGTGAGCTCATAGCTGTCATGTCCATATAATTGTGTATACAGTTGCATGCGAAGTTGTGATCAACCGTGAAAATTCGTTCTGTTAGGTGATAATGGAAATGCAGGGGGTGAAGGATATTAAAATTGATTTATATACATGGTTGTGGTGGTGTGGGATTATAATGCTGAAAATCGTGAATGGTAATTGTTTTTGCAGCAACAATTGGAGATGATCATGTCTGCCAATGGATTATCAGAGAACGTATTCGAGATTGCCTCTAAGAGCTTAGCTTAGCTTATCTGTTTCAAATGGATCAAATAACTCTTGCCGTTGAGCTATAGACAAACAAAATAAATTAATAAAGTGGTTTTAATGCTCTTAATTATTGGTATAGTCACCGAGTGCTATGCCAGGAGTTGTTTTCTTATTCAGTGTGTTCGGAACAGATGAAATAGGAACTTCCATATGTATTTTATATTGAATAATGTTGGACTTGGATTAAAGTGTTACTTGCTTTTGTTGCATCAACTTTGAATTCTAACCTAATCTTTATCTGATTAAAATTGATTTTATACAACAAGATTTTATCATTAGGAAGATGAATGTACTCAATTCAAACCTCCAACTATTCAAAATGGAAATAGTTTGGAAAAGTAATTTGAGATGTCTCAAAATTTATCTGCCCGAATTTGACATTAGAATAAATTGTGGTAAAATACATTGGAAACCAATAAACTTTATGCGCCGATTCATTTATACCACCAAAAATTTCATTTTGGCAAATTTATAATTAGCATTTATTTTTATGTTCAACTATGTCATTAATGAATTAATGGTAGACGAGCGTATTGACATTGTTGCCTCACAAAACGAAATTGTTTTGGTGCGGTTATTTTAATGCTAAAAAAGCTTAAAAAGACGTCGTGAAAATAGAACTTAAAGCTCAAAATGAAATTGTTTTGGTGCGATATTAACCATTAACCTAACTTAATTTTTTGTTTAATTTTTATAAAATTTCTAAAAATTTAAAATTTCAATTAAAATTAATTCTAAAATTTTAAATAACCTAAGGACTAAACCAAAATTTTTTAATTATATTTCTTTATTCCCATCATCTTCATCTGCAGATCCAAACAGAAAGTTGGCAGACAAGACTAGAAGGGTGAGGGAGGAAAAAGACAGAGAGTGGACCTATCAAAGAGAGTTGTAAGTGCAAGAACAATGACTCGACCTAGTTGGCACACAACACCATCCAATCACTATCCTTGCTACTGCTAGCCATTTGATAATCATCCAGTGGTTGATATATTTTGGTTTAATGATGCCTAAAAGGAAGTCTCAGTTCAACAATTCTTCGTAGACAGAACAACTAAGATGATAACAGTAACGCCCTAAATTCTGGTTTAGGAGTTTCGGGACCTGAGAGGGCCTTGGGTAAACCCATTAGCCTTGTACGGAGACTTGGAATAAGTGAGCTTTGATGTGGGCTTGGTTTGGGCCCATTGAATGGTAAAAAGGGGTATTTTTAAGTGATCAAGTTAGGAGGATCAAGGGGGCAATTTACCCACAAACTTTCCCAAAGTCTGAATCCTTTTAATGATGTCAGCCGGGGGGAAGGGGGGAGGGGATCTTGATATCTCATTTTTCCCAACCATTTTGTCATATTCACCTATTCAAACTCTCTTGTTCCTTATCATCTCTAATGCAAGGTGAGGGCTTTATTCCATTCTAGACCTTACCTAACAACCTTAGCATCTATTTTCTTCGCATCTCATTCAAGCTCCCTTTTGTAGGTTTTGTTCGTGGTGGCCATGGAGAAGAGTTTAGTTAGGGGGTTTTAAGAAACCTTAGCTATTCAGTTCGTTTCTGATGGATTGCATCCCTAAGAGGTGTTCTTAACTCATTTTTAACCTTGAAATCAAGCTAGTAACTCAAGTGTTTGATTATTGTCTAGTGAAAGAAGTTGGAGAAAGCTCCAAGAACAAACAGAAGGAAAAGTTGACTCTTGGCTGAGCTTTGAGCATTTCCAGTAGCTTAATAGTCCATGTAACACACTTGTTACTCAACTCTACCATATGTATACCACTAGGTGTGTTTGGTAGCTTGCATGAGATATGAAACATAAAAGCACATTCATGATAGATTTTACTATTTTCTATTTGTCAGCATGTTTATGGGGACCTATTATGACCCCTCTTAACATACATAAAACTTTAATAATGTTTGGGAACGTCCATAGGGCTTTTGGGCGGAATGAGGAATGATTTCGTGCCCAAATAGGGGATTTCTAGGTTTGAGTATCAGTATTAGAAGAACAATATTGATATTGTTCGTCAGATAGCCTAAAAAAAGAGAGCTTTTAGACTAATAATAGCAATACGTGTTCATCGGGTATCGATATTGTAGGTAGAGTATCGATACTCAGGGATGAAGTATCGATACCAAGTATAGATCAGAGATTCAAATATCCATTTTTGATATCGATACTCATTGGAGTATTAATACCCTCAATAGGGGTATCGATATTGAGATATTTTTCAAAACATCGAATCTAATTTTGGTGATACTTAGGATATTATCAATACCCTAGTTCAGAAGTATTGATACTCGGTCTAGGGGTATCGATATTGAGATATTTTTCAAAACATCGAATCTAATTTTGGTATTGATACTTAGGATATTATCAATACCCTAGTTCAGAAGTATTGATACTCGGTCCAAGAGTATCAATACTACCCTTCCTTCCCAGTTTACAACAACAATTTTAGTATCGATACCAAAGGGTGGGTATGGATACTCAGGGGTCAGTATTGATATCGAAGGAATCAGTATCAGTACCAGCGTATAATTTTGGTTAAAGAATCCAAATGGTTAAGGGGTTAGACTCGAGGGGCCCAATAACACCAAAATGGCATCAAATAAAACTACAAGTGAGAACAATAATAAAGTAGTACAACTAGAAACAATAAAAACTAGGATAACATAAAACTATCCTTTTTGGCACACATGAAACAACTAGGACACCTGAGTTACTTTAATAGAGGATGATAGTCTTGTTGTAGAAAAGTTTGGATATATCTGAGTCAGTACTAAGACACTTTAGTTGCCAGCTGGGGGCACAAATGCCCCATGACTATATGGAGTATGTTGGTTGAGTGCACATTTCCAATCCAGGTACGAATCTTACCCCACATACCCAAGGGTATCTTAGGTAGGCTAGAAGGGTGTGCACTCCGAGATGCAGAACCCTCAGCCACATCATGATGCCTACCTCAACATTCTATGTCAGTATCCTTATGTATCCATACCTATGCTACTAGCATGCTCATGTAGTGAATGCATGTAGTACAATACAACTATTTGTGTGGCACTGAGCTCGTAAGCTCAACGTTCAGAATGTTTTTCCGTGCGTAGGTTCTTAGTAGATCGTTCGTGGAGCATTATCGCCATCAAATATTCCAGATCAGCCGAGGCTTTAGAGTACATCTTGATTTTTATTTTAGAGGGCATGTACTATTTGTAGACCTTTTTATTCAGTCATAAATCTATTTTGTTTTAAACCTTATGATTTTATTAGGATGTATTTTTGGAGTCCTCGTATTTGTGAACTCGAATATTATTATGCTTTTATTTTGTAACTTCATTGAATGGTTTTATATGATGATTTTCAAATGTTTTTAAAGAAAATGTTTGGGTTAGCCACTTTAGTGGTTCCATGTGACACATTAATCCTTTGATCATCGGGTCGGACTGGATTACGACATTATAATAACCACTAAAGAAAAGAAATTATTGGGTGAGTTTTAGCAATGAATAAAATGAAACTAATATTTTAATGTCATCGAAGCTTCGAATGCATCAGATTGAGAAATATAAAGCCAAATGCAAGAATGAAACTTGAGGTGAATGAGTACCTGGAACAACATCTAACATGAAGGACATGGGAAATTGTAACAGCTGAAGGCTAGAAAGTGTAAGATCCTTAACCCGTAGATGTACTCAATTACGAGTTAAAAATGTCACACTAACTTGTAAAAACTTACTAAACAAAAATCGAGTAAAAGTTTAAACCTTTTTGAAACTTAATCATAATTTTCCTTTTCTCATATAATTTATTAATTATTTAATATAAAATTTAATATTATGACCTTAAAATTAGATTCTATTTCAGATAGTAAGTTGGCAGTTTAATAATATATAATGTTTTTTATTTAATACAGCCTGACTTATGAAATAAGTCGATCAGAGCAAAAAATATATATTTAATGTACATGCCAACTAGATAAGCCAAAAGAGGTAAATACCATATGATACTGGAATAGGTGCGATTCGCAAAAAGTGATGCTCGCTATGCTCCTTACTCCACTGACTGATCTTTTCCTTTTCCTACACATGAAATATTTATATGCTAAGTAACAACTTAGTGAGGCATTATTTATAAAAATAAAATAAAATCATATCGATACTTATGAAGAAATAAATAAATATTTCTTACAGAAAATGCCTTATAAAAATATAAGAACATATAACAGATCGAATAATTCTTTCTTTCATCAGAAACCTAAAAATATCATTTTAGAACACCCATATCCATATTCACAAATAAATAAAAACATTCAACAATCAGTTATTCCTGCATATTTCATATCATTTAACAAATAGCCCAATATACACAACTAATAATACTTCCCTTAATAAAATATTTCATGAAAAAAGGATAAATGTTGGAAAATATTAAAACTCCCCCTTTTTCATTAAGAAATTGAATTTTTCAAACCTATACTTCTCCCCCTTTTTTTATATAAAAAATAATTCCAATTTAATAGTTCAAAACAACAATGGAGAGTAAGCAATAATTTTAGCATAGAATCATTTGAAAAATCAAAACTCCCCCAATAAAAGCATTCCAAGAAAACTTTTGACACAAAAGTTTAACACTTAAAAAAATATTGAATTTCAATGAGATAGGAAAGAAAACACATTATTAGTACATGAAATTCAATAAATCCAAGTCAAACATACCTTATGCAATATCAACAAATAAGACTTTATAACTCCTAAGCATAAAGTATTCTCAAGTGTTATGCATTTAACATAGACATCAATTGTTAGAGATATCATAGGTAATGAAGAACACATGCACAAACATTTAAAACAAATTAAGGTGAAAAAAATAAATAAAAATTTAAACACAATTTGACAAAAAACAAACATTATGATGAACTTGAATTTTATAAAAATCAATTTAAAAATGAATGTTCATCATAACATATTTTCAACATACATGAGATAGAAAATAACAAGTTATCATCCATGTTCAATACTCATGCATGCATAAAAAAATAAATAGACAACCAATTTACAAAATCATTTACCTTTATCACCATTGCTCCAACACACATACAAGAGACATTTTTTGGATTTTGGTACCCAAATTGCTTTGGGTCTTAGAATGTTAGTGCCAGTGTCTTTAGTTCCTAAAGGAACCCATACTTGTCTAATTTTAAAAGAATTTCTTTTATTT